ACGGTGGAAGGTTCAGGGGTGTGGGGGGTTGAGGTTTCGGATAGCTTTTGTTGGAGTGCCTCTTCATGCTTCGAGATTCGTGCCTGGTCTTACAGTAAATGGGAACAAGAGCATCTATGCAAGGCCCCCAAACTTAAAAAACCTCAACCTTAAAGTTAGCTCCAGGACCGCTGCCACCGAGGCCCGGTGCTCTTGCGATGCAGCTCGCTTTCTGCTGGGAAAGCCACTGGCCGTGTCCTACGTCTGTGTCCACGTCCACAAGACTTTCATGTTTGACTTCATGCTTGCGGCTCTAATTGGAACATTTGGAACGCGATGTATATCGACGCACGCTGCTTTGAGATGCTTTGAATCTGTCCTGTCCTGATCACGCCTCCCCGGGCCTGCACAGCTTGGCCACGAGCCTGCGAGGGTGCCCTGCCAGCTACCCAAACTTCCACACTTCCAAAACGGAGCAAACAAAGGCAACGAAGACGTGTTCGGCTGGGGATTGAGAACCGTCGCACCTCGAGAGCCGGCGGAAGCCTGACGGAAGCGTGTCCACATCTTTTGGATGTCCCAAAGCGGCAGGCCCGAGGCCGAGCCATGTCACGCTTACAGTAGCTTCTTGAGAGCGCAGCATCGTGATCCCTGGACTCCCTACTGACCTCAGTTTGAGCGGGGATCACGCGCTTGGCTGAGCAAAGGGAATGCTTGATGGTGTCCACAGATTAGCTGTCATGCCAGATGTGAAGAGCGAGGCAGCGTCACCGGGGTTCGGGCGTGCGATTTCTTCCCACGAAAGCCGGGGGGCAGCAGCCATCCACAGCTGGGAGCCCAGCTGTCTGCGAGAATGCAATGGCCCCACATGCCCAGTAAAAGCTACCGGAAAGGCCGGGGACCATCAACACCTGCAACGAGAATCACAGCAAAATTGTCTCCATGGTGGACTCATGGTGGGCTGAATGCCGGCTGCCGCGCATCTCCGCCATGCCTTCAAACACTAAAACCGCAGCAGCGAGGTTGCAACTTGAAGCCGACAAGTTGCGTCGCAGCACAGCACAGGATGCACGTACAGCAATGGCAAAAGTTAAGGCAAAGTCTTGCATCCCCACACATGGAGACACACAGACAGAGAGACAGACAGACACACAGAGACAGAGCTTGAGAATCAAATACAGTAGAGGGAGCTTTGCATATCGGAGCACGCTGTCTCCATGTCTAATCCACAGTTCTCGGCGTCGGCTCCTCCGCAGGCGGACTTTGCGCAAATCCCGTTGCCCTGGCATGCTTGGTACTTGGATTGGTACTAGTCGCAGGCCCGAAATTTTGTTAAACTTGGATTTCCCGGTTTAGCTTGCAGCGTTAGGAGTGTTCGGAGAAAGCACCCAGCCCAGTGATCTTTGCAATGTCGGAAGACGTGCAATTTATACCTCCAGAACCCCGGTTCTGTCTTGGCTGGTTCTTTTTGTCTCCTGCTGTGGGCGTTAAGTGTTTACTCTCTACACCATCGTTGAGTTGTATACACATATAAACATATATGCACAAACAAAATATGTATTTACCATATCACACCCTCCGAATTTGTTCACGTGCAAATAGAATAAAATATGGAACAATGCTTGAACGCAACTCAAAACCGAATCTTGGACATTTTTCCCCGCCATGGCGGCAGCCGAAGCATTTCGACTGAATGGTCATTGTCTCAGAGTCTACCAGAACTACGAGCAGCATGCGTGTGGTCACTTGCCACGTACTGCTCCATGCTGAGAGCTCGGGCTTTGAATATTTTCCTCTGCATCGCTGACTCAAGGACTGTTGGACTGCTTAAGGCTTAGTGAAGACCCAAAGCCCGATCAAAAAACAGAACACGGCGCCACACACGTACAACTTCGTAATGCAGTTCAGGATGCCTCGCTTCGTATAACTACAGCATACCTTGCCAAAGTGAAGTTGCCACTGGTGGCCCAGCCAAGCAAAAGCTTGACAGCCAAATTTAACCTCATCATGCTGAAAGGTTGAGCCCGGCACTTTGTGTGAACAGTATGGAAAGTTACTCGGCGTGCCAGACTGCCAGATCATCTCGGCATGATTCATGGGCCAGCCTGGCACTCGGTTGCATCTGAGCTTATGGCACGTCTCACCTTCTCAGAGTTTGCATTGAGAGGGTCCCGGCCTCATCTTCGAGGAATTGGCACGAAGTGCAATGTAAAAAACATAGCCAGTTCCAGCAGCATCCCTGAAGATGATGACACTCCGCACAAGACACAATAAGACACAGTGAGACGAGTGCAAACTCCGCTTTCCTGCCTGCGCGAAGCCAAGCTGTAGTGCTACGCAGGCTCCGCCGCCGGGATACCTGCGATCCGTAGTGGCGAGTACTGTCAAGTTCCGATGTCGAAGATGCGTCTGGCAAAAGTGGGGCCTGGCATCGGCAATGGCCGTCGCAGCAGCAACACCTAGCTAAAAAGCCATCAAGCGGCAAAACAAATAGATGGTCAGAACCGTGTGGAATGCAGGACGACTATGATGCATGATGCAAACCGCAGTGTGTGTAGATGCCTCATACACATTGCCCCCTGCTTTCAATCTCGCCGGGAGGTCGTGCATCTCGGGTTTGTGAAACTCATAGTGAACCCATCCTCCAAAAGATTAGAGACTGGCCGCCGCACTTCGATTCCATGGAAGTACACTCTGTCGCATCAGCTGTCCTCTGCTCCCTTGCACGCCGAGACTGCGCCACTCTTGCTCCTCGTAATGCAGCAAGGCATCTGTGCGCCATTGCTGCAAAGACAGACAGTCTTGGGACACAAGCCAGTGCCAGCCCGAATTTCAATCCATGAAAGCAAGTGTACGACCCCATTATAATTCCATAAGGTGGTTTGATGGAGTGCAAGCGCTGGAATTCCACCCTCACTGCGCGAGTGCTACGGCTAGAGTACCTCCAGAAGCCGCTGGCCACCTTGCGTTAGGTGCACGAGCCTCGCTGCCACGTCCTCACATCAAGTGCCAATGCCGCAGCTGTGTCACAAGATGCTGGAATTTCATGGCCAGTCACAGCAATATAATCTGGCCGTGTCGGCGGAGCGTTGCAGATAGCAGCACGTGAGAGCAACCATCAAAGAATTTCTCGAATTCTTGGCATCATGTTCAACGATCCAGTCACGGTCCTTCGGGAGGAGGACGTGGCGATACTCAAATTGCTGGTCGGAATACTTTTCCTCAGTGGCTTCAATCGGTATAGCCAAAAGAGTCACACGTCGAAGTTTCCAAGTGCACCAGCCCCTGCTGGGATGCACCTTGGTTGAACCCAGGCACTGAGTAGCAAATTGAGTCTGGAAAGCCTGGCATGGCGCTGTAGCCGAGCAGACCTTAGACGTCGAAGATAGCTCAGGACAGATGGCCGTGGGCAGGGTGCGCAGCGATGGGAGTGACGTGTAGGAGGCCGAGGCTGTGGCAAGTGTGGTGCCCTGTTTGGCACACGCTCGAGCCGGAAAACGACCAGCAAAGTCAACAGAGGAATGCGTGCTGGGGTTCAGCCTCGAGGCACCAAGTCGAAATCCAACGTCAAGTGAGTCAAGTACATCCTGATTTCTGCACTCCGTGCTCCGATCGTCAACAGATCTGATTCTGCTTTGCAGACTCGAATCTGCGGGAAGTCGTGAAGATGAATATCCCCTATGCGAAAAAGCAAAACGAAGCAATGCATCGGACTAGACTGAGACATTGCTGAAAAAATGAGGATTACCATGAAAGTGCAGGCAAGCAATTCGATGAATCATTGTGTGAACCAGCCGCTGCTACCGTCCGGGCTTGGATGTTGGTTACCTCTTAACCGACAGCAATGAAAAGAGGTTGAACAGAATTGCCGCAGCTATGTCAGGATCGACGTGCAATTCGCCACAGCAGGTGCGACAGGTAGGATGAACAATCTCGAGTGCGTAATTACAGACACACGCCGGAGGTTACAGGACATGGCAATTCTGCGGGGATTCTGTGGTATGGTGTGATCGTGGAGAAGCCCTCTTTAAGCTGTGACTGCCGTGTCCTTGCCTATGTACAGGGGTTGTTTTTGCCTCCTACATTGTGATTGAAATGGTTTTGACGGGCACCCAGAGATTATGGGGCGGAAAGCCGGGGTTAGTTGGTTGGTGTCACGCCATGCGCCCACCATGGGTCCAGCCGCTTGTGGGTGTGAGCACGATGGGCTTGTTCGGCAAGGTAACCCTGGAGCCGCGGGGCTCAAGTTTCTGAGGGGGTGCTCCCAGAGGTTGGCTTCGTGGGCTAGCGTCGAGGTTGCAAACATCTGTATCTAAGCGAGCCTTGAGGCCACGCTGTTTCTTCTAGGCGAGGGCTTTGCAAATCGCGATGATCCGCAGCATTGGGAAATCGTCAAAACATCCAAGGACAAGCACTGCTCGTCATGGACAGAATTGCAACACCAACGAGGTGAGTAAGACAGAGGTGGTCAACCCCAAACTCCCGACCCTAAGTGACCAATTGCAAGTGTATGCACTTCCGAGCAGTGTTTAGATGAGAGCGCGTTGGCGTTACTTAGTACCAGTGGCGGGGACCAAGAGCATTGGTGACAGCCCACATCCAAAACTACCGGTGCGGGCTATATGCTGTCGCGTGCCATCGGGTAGCTGCTTCAAGAGAGCGCAAAAGCTGCCAAGCTTGCACACATGTATCAGTCATGTATCAGGCCAGGCAAATACTGTTCACGCTGGAACTGGCATTTTCTGTGTTCTACTAATGGCCGAAAGGCCGACAAAATCTGAAGAGCTGAATTATGTGAGTGACGTGGTGTGGCTTAGGCGGCGCACAATACCTCCCCTTGCCGAACAGCACACGCAATCCATATATTTTAAGAATGCCACTCATGTTACACCCTTACTTCCTGTGCAGGTCGGGCCGTTGTTTGCATCGCGAGGGGAGCTCAAATCATCAGGAGGACAACGCGGGGTGTGGCATAACACAATATTAACCATTTCGCCATTTAGAGGAGAGCAAGGCAGGCTGCCATGGAAGGGAGACACGCAAGATGCAGACATGGAGCGGTGATCAGGCAAGACCGAGCCCTGTCTAAGCTAAACATCTGACAGCAGCAGCGGCAGGAGCCATTGCCGGGGCTCCTGGGGTCCCAGGGCATTCCACGGCTCAAGGTGGTCCTTTCATGTCCGAGTTCTTTGGCGCTTGTGGCCAGGTGATCTGAAATTGGAAAGCTCCAAAAATTCTTGAAGCCGTGCTGTTGGTATTCCGCTTTCTTCGCTCCTGGTCTTGGCTTCACTTTCCAATTTCATGGGAATTTTTCGTAATTGAAAACCAGGATGGTTTCACTTCTTGTCCTTGGCAGGTTGCTAAACCATCAGCCTAAACAGTCCAACCACCGAAACTGGCTCAGTATCTCGACCGGCGCGGTTAGCAGTGTTGCACGCACCGGTAAAGGCTTTGCTGCCTGGGTGCTCACGTCAAGCACGTGGCACAACTCGAGAAGCTCCAACACATTGGCTGAGTGTCTTGGGCTTCAAACCTCAGCATTTCGAAGCTTCGCCGCGTCGCTTCGGGTCAGGACGTGTAACGCATTTGTGCTCATCTGCCGCGGATGGAAAGGTCGGGTGCCGCGCACGTCTCTGTGCAATGCATCGGGTTTCAATTCCTCAGGCACTGCTGCTGCCTGGCTGCCGGACGGCAAACGCTCCATGCTGAGGCTGCCGCAGTGATGTAGCTGCAGGCATCATTTCGCCGTACCACCTCCAACATGTACTGTGACTGCCAAAGCTCAAAGGCATGCTTTTCGGCATGTGCGCTTGGCTGTTTAGCTGGACTCTTGGCCATGGAATCAAGAAGCTTTCTGGATGCATGTATTGTCTCAAATCGACGGACGGAATGTCGTGAGCTACTCAGCCGGGACCACCTCGAGCCGAGTTCCCCTCAGAGGCAAGGCTTGTAGCAAAGCATGGCTCTGCTTCGGGGCACTACCACTCGAAAAACAAAACTTGGCTGAATCTGGGTGGATGTTGCGGGCTGCGCACAGATATGCTCTAGGTGTCCAGCATGCCTACATCATCATCTGAAGCCTGGCAAATCGCGAGCTGCTTCAATGGGACAGGTTGATCAAGAAGGCTGCGGCCTGAGGCACGATGACCCGGCCAGACTGTTGTCGCCTCGAAGGAACTGGAAGGGAGCCGATGTGGCAACAAGCTCTCAAGATTCAGCCGAAGCCCAAGTCTTAGAAGCCGATGAGTGCAGTGCTCACGCTCCTCCTCCGAGATGATCCTGACCTGGGGCACCATTCATCGTCCAGGTCGGTCATCGGTCCTGCTGCATTTATCTGCTACCAAGGAGCCACCCATTTCTTGTCCTCTTCTTCCAGCCTGGGAGAAATCAGGCCCTGCACCGGCCCGGCCTACCCCCAACCCTGAATGCCACCCGAAGTCCTTGAAAAGTCTTCCGGCATGGCACGCCATGCATATGAATGAATGAACTTAGTCACGCTGATATCTCCCACAAGGGATCTACTCCGGGGACTGTCCTGGCTCACTCGACCCCATCCTACGGGACATCGCCGCTACCGGGTACTTGGTTGCAGCGCATGGCTCCCATTCCACCAATTCATGTCCCTTGAATGTGCCCAGCAAGCTGCGGCCAAGATGCTGGGTGGTCTGCATAGTCTGTGCAGTTTCCAGCGTAACCTGACGCTGCACTGCCCGCATTGTATCCTCCTGGCCACGCTCAACATGCATAAACGCCTCTTGCAGTGACTTGCTGGATGCAGCGCTTCAGCTTCGGGCTTAGGGGAGTCCCCTCGCCTGAAGTGGTACACAGGGCTCCACGCAAATCGAAGAGCATGTAAGCCAACACACATGGACAGTAGACACACTGCAGTCTGGAAGTTGCTCCTCGATTGGCTCTGCCGACCGCTGGCTGGGTGTGACCTGAGCACTTTGAGTCCAGCCGATCAAGCATGCCTAGTGACACAGCGGCAAAGTTTGAATCCAATCTAGAAGATGCACACGAACTGTTGGCTTGTTGATGCACAAGCAGCACGCGACCCTGACACCCGACATTTCTGCGCACAAGCATCTCGCTGCTGAGTTTGGTCCAAGTTGACATGCGTTGTGTGGGCACGCACGAAGCCACTGATGTGACATGTGATTGCTCGCCTACTTCGCCGGGTCCCCACATGCTGCGACCATGTCGACGAAAGTCTAAACTCGCCCGTTTCTAGGCGCACCAAATACCCCCAGGCCGGCCGACCAACACCACACAAACGGAGAAAGTAACCCACGCACAAAACTTCAACAAACTAGCACTAACGCAACAACAAGCGGAACTGAGCGATTCGCCGAGCCTGGATCCTACGGTCCTACGGCTTGCGCAGATGCGAAGCCCGGGATACGATACAGTGGGAAAGATACACTGGCATTCTCAAAGATCTCAGAAGCACACGTCTACAGTTGCGCTGGCGACGTCCAAGCGTGACCTGCGTTGAGACATGAGACACCGCATTGTCAGCACCACCTTCAACACATGGCGGAAGAACTTGTTACACACAGCCCTTTAGCTGTGGGTGCCTCCAGCTGTCAATCCCTTTCTCCAAGGCTTCGGTGTCTGAATTCGCTTCTGTCCAAGACGACCACCTGCGCTCAGCTTCTCAATCCGCTGCTTGGGCGCTCATTGTCGGGCTTCGCGCCTTGATGGAGTCTTGGATCCAGAGAGTCGGGGGACGAGCCCCTCCTTGAAAATGGGGCCGGTGCTGACGAAACTATCTCCCAGAATCTGATGGCTTGAAAACGCAATGCAAAGAACGCTCTGGCCTTCTGCCAGAGTGGCATCTTTTCTGGCCTGGCCGTGGTGACTCCCAGCTCTTGCCACGAGTTGACAGCTGTCGAAGGGTGGCAGAAGCACGGGAAGATGTCGACAACCTGCCCGTTTCAGGAAACTCTTCGGGCATCTCGGACATATACAAAGTACGGCAGCATAAGGCATACTGGCTACTGGATGGAGGGAAACCCTGTCACAGCACAAAGGATGCAGACAACGAGCTGCGAAACTCCGCGAAAGACGACATTACTAAGAGCGTTGAAGAAGACTCGCGGCACGCGGCAAAACAGTGTGAGAAAAGACCTGCGACTTGCTGCAAGGCACGGTATTAGGAATGAGCAGGGGGCAACCGGCAATCAATCGGTGCACAGGCCCCAGCGACATCCGCTGCACGTGACTCAAATCACCCCAGCCGCAGCCCCAAAGCAAGTATTGGCACTCCTGCAATAGCAATATTTTGCCGAACCCTGGGGAACGAACTCGGGGACTCCAGGTGATGCGTCTGGGTTGACTGAGTTTCGCACTGATCCCGAAGCCAGACCGGCAGCTGCAGCCTCCAACGCTGCCTGCCACGGGCTGCAACCCCTGCCCTTTGCTTCCCACACTCCGCTGCAAACCATCGAATCCAGCAGAAACCCATCGAGACAGTGCAGAGATACCTACCACCTCTACTCAGTAGACTCTACTCCTGGAAGCACACCGTGAACTCTTGCCGTCATGACGGCAAGAATGTGGAGTTTGTGTCCCCTTCACTGACGACCTGCGGGACACAATAGGACCTAATTGAGCTCCAGGCTTCCAGGTTGTCAGGCTCAGCTGCGATCGGCAAGTCGAAAAACTCCTCCCATTCTGGATCCAAGTTCCTGAGTCGGCTACGTTCTGCGTGGGTATGGCAGGTACGGCCAGCGTGTGAGCAACAGGATTCAGGTTTCGGTGACGTTCTTCACCATCCGCTGGCAATGTCCTATGTGTAAGGTCATGAGTCATAAGGCATCGATGAACCACCCGATTTCGCACGTCTGCCGGTTGTGGCCATGATATACATATCAGCAGCGGGTGCACATGCCGGTGCATTGCGGAGCAGAGCTGCGGGTGCTAACACTGTGCTAACGTGGCACCGAAGACCCCGTGACACTTGCCAAGGCTGTGGCCGAACCTTAACACTGCTGACTTGGCGATGGCACAGCAGCCCTGTGGCGGTCTCGGCACAGGCCTCAGTACTTTGATCTTCCAGGAATTTAGGCCCCGTAGGCTGCAGCTTGCATTTCTGCCGCTGAGGAGCGGTGATTTCGCACATTGGGTCCGAAGTCGTCCTGGTGCGGGAAGAGGTGGGAACTGTAGGCTGGAAGTGTTGCTGCCTGCTGCTCACAAGTCTTTTTTTGGTCATTGCTGCTCGCAAGTCTGCTTTTGGTCATGTCTCCCGAGCAGTTCTTGCTTTCCAGGAAAGAGCAAGCATCCTTTTTGTCAACTCAGCCGTCGTCGAGTCGCACTGCACTCCATCACTCTCTCAGCATGAGCTCGAAGACGATGCATCCGAAGTCAATAGAGCCATCTTTGCAGCTGCCTAGCACTCCAAACGCTGCAGGACCGTCTCTCTATGCGGCCGCATGGACTTCTGGGCCTTGGAGCTGAGGGGTCGTGGCTCAAGCACTGAAAGGCCACCCACTAAACGAACTCCAGGCTTTACACCTGTTGGGCCGGTGGACCCTTTTCTAGTCACTAGTCTCTTTTCGCTCCCCCCGGCCGGACTCCCTGGCCTACAGCCCAACAGAGACACCGCTCTGCATCGTTTGCTTGTAGAACCAAGTGTGAAACATTTTGGCTGGCTGTTCTTCCCAAGATTTCGTGCCTTGACAGTCTTCTGCTTCTTCTCTTGCTGCTTCACCTGCATCTGCATTTGATTCCAAGCGCTGCGGCACATTGTCTTGGTTGGCTTGCTCGCCGTGACACTGGGGAGGAGCTTTTTGAAGATGAACTTGAATCTTCCCAGGCAAACTTGGCACCATCGGGAATGTCCACCTCTTCCTCCTAGCCACGGGGTGGAAGCTCTCGAAGGGAAGCCAACCAGCACAAACATGAACACGTGCAAACGTGCACATGCCCAAACCCATGTTACCGGTAGCACGACGCATGTCCTTCGGCGGAGGTGCCGGCGGCGGTGGAATGGGCACCTGCACGAACATCACGAACTGCAATGCACAGGTCTGCTAAAGTCCGGATGAAGCCGCCTTCGGCATCTCCTCAGAAGACTTGTGCTTGGTCTTGGAAGAGGCCTTGGCTTTCTTGTCCTTCTTCTTATCCTGACGCTGATGCTCTGATTGGGCGGCCATGGCACTTCATTGAAAGCCTTCTTTTTCTTCTGCTTCTTGTCTTTCTTGTCCTTCTTGGACTTCTTCTTCTCCCTAGCTTAGACAGCAATGGCCGTGCTAATGGTGCCTGGCTTGACTTGTGGTCGTGAAAGTCGAGTTATTCGCCTGGCAGCTTTCCTGGCGGCCTTTTCGATCTTTTTGAGTTTTTCGGCTTCGCGGTGCCTGGGACTTGCTACATGGTAGCAGGTGGACGAATAAGGGTCGTTTCGCTTACCAGCTGCGCCAAGGCACTCAATCCCAGCAACTGCAGCTTCTGATGCCACGACAGACCAGTCCACTCTGTACGATTTCTCCTTGGCTGTATCGACACCGGAGATATATGGAGATCCAAGCACGGCTTCCAGTACTGGCGAGCACTAGCCGCTAAGTCACGCTGACGCCGTGGTAGTCACCACCCGTCACGGACGAGACCGACAGCCTCTTGGTGCCGTACAGCTCAGTCATAAGCTTGCCTCGGCCGACAACAGAGCAACACCAACTCACCAACACTGAAGCTCGTCAAGGGATCAAGGAGGTTCTCAGGATTCCGCACTCAATACATGAATGCGACCAAGGTGACTTATAACCCTTTCTTGATCTGCCTTTTGGCAGCACTCCATCTGAGCAAAGACCCCTGACAGAAGCACGGGCCACGTGCAAAGATGCCCATCGCCTCATCGAGCGATCCTTCGGACCTCGAGTCGGTGACCAACACAGAGAACAGGTCTTCAGGCTTGCCGAACACCAGTCCTTGGTGACCATGTTGCTGGTATTAGCCTGGGCGATAGCATGCCAATTCCTTATAGACTGATGGACCGCCAGGAAACCGTCACGTACTGAGAGAAGTGGGCCAAGTCCCGGAAGCTGTTCACTTTCTTGTCAAAGTTATCCTTACATGGGTCATCCTGTCGCTTGCTGCGGCTGCCTCTCAATAGTCTTAGATACGCCACTGTAGCGAGAAACTCTAATTCAAAACGGCTCCGCTTCCGGCTACGCATGAATGAGAAAACACTCGAGTCATGGGACGGCATAGCAGAGAAATGAAGCGTCCGCATCGCGGCGAAAGGCATCAACGAGGCCTTCTGGCTTGTACAAAGGCAGATGGCTGCCTTCACCTGAGCAGGGCTTTCGCGGAAGAACAATTCTCTAGTTGCGCCCATGCAACGTTCAAGCTACTCATGCGTGGCCCATCAAGAAATTATCGGCGTGCATTCTGCCGCTGTGCCTGTCCAGCTCTTGACGCGGAGGGTATCTTTGGAGCTGGCGAATTCGATCTCCACTTGGATGGGCAGCCGAGCAGAATCGACACGCAGGAGTGCACAGACCAGTTCTCCATACCTCAGAGATGGGGGTGCTGCAAACATAAGTCAACGACGCGAGTATCGTAGTGTCGTTGCACGGGTTGCAGGCAAAATGGGCAAGCTATTTTGTAGACTTTTTGCTTGAAGGCACAGCGAAACAGCAGGATCGGGACTCCGCTTGGACAATTGCTAATGCGAACACGCCGGATCTAAGATTCAGGGAATTTAAAACGTCTGGAATAGACAAGGCACTGCCCGAACTCCCGCCGCAAAGCCCGAAGCCCCAGGGCCTGAACAGCACGCATGGCATGGGCTCTACACTCACTACACACCCGAGAGTCCCATGCTCCTTTTAAAGCTTTGTTGGCAGCCTTGCACGTAGACAGTGCAAGCACAGAGGTGCTTCGCTCAGGAGGCTTCCACTTGGATTCTGCAACATAGATGCCTGATGCCCCGCTCCAGGAACAACCCAAACCACAGCCAGGTGTGCTTTCATATACGTAGCATCAAAGGGAGAAGATGCAGACTGGGAAAGCGATGGGCAAACAAAGACGGGAAAACCTGACAAAGGAACCGCCGGTCCGGTCTGCATGTGACCAAGCTTCGTGCAAGCGACCCCGTTTCCGTGCGTCTGATTCTGACAGTGCAGCAGCCTCAACCCCTAAGATTCTTAAGATCCTGCCATATCTTATCTACCAGAAAAGGAGTGCTTCCGCAGCAATCGCCCAAGCGTGAAGCCTCAGCCCGCCTCCGCGCCCTCCATAACCCGGAATTGAACCCGGGGCTTGCCAGGCGCCATGGCATTCCATGAAGGCCATCCGAAGCAGAGATGCAAAGACTGTTTGACAGTACTGCATATGCTGGAGCAAGGCCGAGCTTGTCCTTCAAGAAGATCCCTTTCCTGTGCACCGGACGCCACTGCGGGCCTAAGGGCCTCAACATGCATCAACTCACTCAAGGCCATGAGGAACAGGCAAGCGCCATCACTCGGTTCTTAGGTGGTTTCAGTGTTCTGGACAGTCTTCCCATTCCATGCTGTCGTGAATCTTTTGCGGAAGTCCTCAGCTGCATCTTGTCCTGTCTTGGGAGATGCTGTGCCTCAGCTGTGGTGCTGTTTCAAGAATCCTGCCGCGATGCAGTAACGTGGCCACGGTGGCGGTTCCAATGCTCAATCTGTGCGTCTGCTCAAGATGCGGGACGGCGGGTGCTGGTTTTTGTTTCGTAACTAATTTCCAGAGTTCGGCAGTTCTCGCTGGCATCGCATGCAACCGAGCCAAAAAACCTTCCGTGGCAAACCCGAAGCTCCAGAGTCATTCAGAATGCAGAAGCCTCCCGGCTGGAGCGCAAACCCCTCCTTCAACAAAAAGAGAGCATGCGCCCTCCAATTGCTGATCCCTCCTTCAAGCTGCTTCCCATATCAGCCGCCCAGCAAATTCAAGCGGACATTCGCACACTGAATATGAGGACAAGCAGCTCGTTTGAGATGCACTCTCCACGAACCGATCAGCCTGGATGTGCGAGGATATGGCCTGGACGTTCCAGACCATCAAACGGTTCCATCTTGGACTCTCGCGCAACATTTACGGAGCGTGAGGCCTCCAGGTTATCGCATACGTCAGAGTCGCTGAGCCACGGAAGCCATAATCTCCAACCACCTCCAGCTGTCAATGTCTTGCCCACGCGGCTGCTGACAGTGAACAACGACTTGGCTTCTGGCATGGTTGCCGTCCTTTGTGCTCAGATCTGCTGTCGTCTCTGGAGTTTCCTGGTGCTCGTCAGATTTCAGAGGGTTTGGACTTGCGACGTAATGCATGGGCAAAGCTGGACCTCGACTGGCACCGTCAGTCTGCCAATGAAATCGTTCTCAGACCTGGCGATGTAAGGCATCTACTGTAAGGCGTGTCCAGGCACTTCCCAGCTTCGACCTTTCGCCAACTGCTGCGCAGGCTAGGGCGGCTAGGGGATGCTGCGGGCTTCCACCTGTTTCTGCTAGCCTTCGTAGGTGGCACGGAGAAGCGAGCAGCTGGTCAGTCCAGTGCCGCCCATTTGACACTAGCACAACACACACGACACCTGTGCGCCCCTTCCACTACTTGGATCACTTTGGTTTGTGGTTGCTTTTCACATCACGAGCGTGCTTCGACGGGACTGCCGGGCGCCTTGTCTAATGTCTGTCAATCTGCAGAGGCCGCATGTATGAACATGGTCGGGCAAGACGGGAGTGTACGACCTTTTATTTGTCTCGCTCCAAAAGGCAACCTCTTCTTTAATTGCCACAACGCGAGCCGAGCTCTTAGACAGCGGCATTGAGTCAAAGTCGCAGAGCTTGAAAGTGATGATCGACCACCTGACAAGCAGGAGAGACAGTGTCCCAGCAGCTGAAGGGGCTGGTGTAGGAAACGATGGAAGATTGCTTGAATTGAGTGAACAGCGACATCCATGAAAGATTGCCCTCCGAATACGGAAGCGTGCAAGAAAGTGTTGCAATGGGCTTGGTTTGAATTTGAGTGAACAGGGACATCCATGAAAGATCGCCTTCCGAATACGGAAGCGTGCAAGAAAGCGTTGCAATGGGCAGCCTCGTGGTGCAGCTAAACCTGTGCTTGTAAGCTCTTGCCGCTTCCCACGCGAGTCGATCCTTAGCTCATCTTGCAAGCTGGCAGATACCAAAACAAGTCTCGCGTCACTCTGAGCACCTAAACTCTCCCTCCTTATGCATTAAGTGGTGCCCCCCCTCAAGTTTTAAGCGGCTTCCGGCGTTGGGGCAAGATCTGCAACTTTCGGTCTGCGTTGTCCCTCCTTGTGGCATGCTGCTCGCTACATCCCAGTCCCATCTGGCTCAGAATCACTTGGGGTGCCCAAGAAAGATCCCCTGCGAAACACCGCTGAAGGTGGACCATTTGCCGAACAGTTCAATTTCTATCAAAAGACACCTGTCTTACAACACGTACGAGCAAAGTCGAGTCGATCGTGACTGCCAACTCGTGCATGTGTTCACCACGGCCCTGGAAGAAACGATACTGAACACGGAGCATGCAGGTGTTTACTGTTTTCAATCAAACGTATGTGAAAACTAATTTCTTTTCGAGGGGGCCGCGGGCCTGGTGCTCTACACACACACACACTCACACTCACAGCTCTGCCATTCACAAGTGCTGACATGCCAAGTGTATACGACCCTCGTTCAACGGTGCGGCTCGCTCACCAAAAGCCTGAAAGAACTCCGACATCCACCCTCGGTCCGGACATGTCGTGGTCCTGACCAGCAGCACTTTAACGTAGAACTCGTTTCGAGATCACCGTACAACACCGGCATCACACGAGCGAAGTTCGTGGAGAGGTAGGTCTGCAGGTCTGTCTTCACAGATCCATGCTGAGATGCAGCTCGCGGTGAATGGTGGTGCGTGTCGATGGTAGTACTCTACTGGACACGGTTCTGGTGACACATCATCTCAACGGAAGTCTTCACTTGAGGACACGTGACACGCTTCCGATGCTGTGGTTGTCTTCAGAGTTTCGCAACATGAGACGTGCCAAAACACAAGCTCCAACCTACTTCGAGCGTTAGGGCTAGGGCGAAGTCACAATGTTATCGAAGGCGAACACATCAAAGACATCACGTGAAGACACGAACCGTGCCTGTTAAGGAAGCCAAAGCAGGTGAGAATGCTTTGGTGTGAGGGCCTGCTCACTACTCTGTGCCCCCCCCACAGCCTTCGGATGCCTTCGGGCACTATGGAGAGCATCGACCACGAGTGCTCCCCCCACACACACATTACACGCGAGAGCGAGCGAATCGCGAGGATGGAAGACAGAGAGAGACAGAAAGAAAGAAAGAAAGAAAGAGGGGGGAGAGAGAAGGAGAGAGCGAGAGAGAGGGAGAAACAACATCTAGTACCGTCGCCTGCGGTGCGCATCCCCGCGCCCGTAGCCAGGTGCATACTGCTACAGTACTGTAGCAGAATGCCAACAACTGCAAACCTTAGTGGCGGGATGCCGCCTTTGGGGTCTTGCTGGATGGGGGGACAGGACAGGATGGAACCCACCAGAGGCCCAGACGGGAGCAAACAAGAATCAGAAAAGAGCGAACGGAGAGCCAAAATCTGAAGCCATTTTCTTGGCCTTCTGAGGACGTGGCAACGCCTCCCATGTAGTATCTCCAGAACTCACCTCTGTCATGCTGGTCCTGACAGTATGCTGCGCCAGTGCAGGTCTGAATAAGGTAAGTAGTGTGCATGAGAAGCTGAAAAAATGTTGGAACAACCCATGCCAAAAGACTGCCCAAGCCTTCTCACTCAGAAGCATGTGCTTGTCCATAGTGTTGAGTTCAGAACGTCCCCAGTCCTCGATGTTGAAAGCTCGAATGCTCAGACTCTCACAAGACTTACCCATCCACAATCCAGCAAAAGGATCCTGCCCAAGAAACCTTGAGCCAATCCCATGGATACGCGATTCACAAACCCTGAAGTAGCCTGGTCTGGCGCATCAGTGCTTGGCACCCAGCAAAGGTGTGGACTTGTGTTGATCTTCGGACTTCCTCCTTGGCACAGAAGTCCCCGTCCGCTCCCGTCCGCTCTGTGAGGGGCGCATTGAGGCCTGTGCTTCCCCTGTTGACCGACAAGGCAAGCGGCCGCAGTCGAAGCCGAGGCCAACAGAGCTACCGATCCTGGGGGCAAAAAATGATCTCAGCTTTGCTTGGAAGGTCTATCGAAAAGGCTCCAGCCACTTCTGTGGCACTGGTGATCGCCTGCACCTCGGGGCAGGACCAAGGTTTCTCTGATTTTCTGACACGACTTCTCGAGTGTCGAGCGCGACAGACAGTCCGGCAAGCTGACGAACTACCTCGTGGGCGACCAGCTCGGCTACCTTACGCAAAAGGATTTTGCCATACGAACGTCGCCCAAGTTGCTGTACCAGTAGATAAGACGCCACCCACTGGGAAAACTAGGAAGGGCAGCTTTCTCGGGCCTCGGTCGTGCACAGCTGGTGGTCCAAACTGGCATCGTCGATGTCCTGTGCAACCCGCATACCCATCGTCAATGGCTCCATGCATCATGGAGCCTCGTGAACAAAATGACGATCTGGGCACCTGGCAACTGGCTCCTGGTGCACATCCCAAAAATGCACCAGCATTTCAGCCTTGGCGGTGCGAGGAAGTCTGAGACGTACCCAGACACACAGCCTGGGTCCCAAAGAGACCATCACTGGGAGCTTCCGATTCTCACTTGCACGAAACCCTAGAGAAAGTGGTTCACAGAGAGACTGTTTCGGACGAGGCGTCCTTACATGGACGTGCTGCATTTGCACGGAAGCTGTCATAGCAACACGCCGTTCTGGCGTAAATGGCATAAGGTGCGTGACTGCCCGGAGAATCATCTGGCAATTTCTCCAAAGCATCTTGGCTCTCTTGACATAACAAGCTTCGCCATGAGGCAAGGCGTGCTATGCTAGAAGCGAACACTTCACCTGCCTGTGGCCTTGGAATCTGAATTGACAGGCCCCCCCAAACTCGGTCCGCTTCACTGTGGCTGGGAGCACAGCGATATTTCACTCTCTCTCGCTCTCAGACTCCCTCTCTTGCCCTTCTTCTCCCAGGCTGACGGGGCTAGCCAGGCCCCTCGAGCTCTCGCGGCTTCGCGAGCTCCTGTTTGCTGTTTGGAGGAAGCTCTCGCATTTGCGACGAGGCTGTGCATGTATCGGCTGTTGCTACTTCCAGCATCGGTGTTCCTCGACGGCGGGTGGGAATCAACAAGTCGCACGAACATCGTCAACAAGCCGTCGACCGAAGCTGCATTCAACACTCGGCGCCAGAAGATGCAGTCTTGAAGAGCTGAGGAAACTCAGGGGGTGTGTGATAAGATACTTGCAGCTTCATCAAGCTCGGGCCCTGTGCTGCTGTCATTCGCTGGAGCATCACACGAAGGGCCTGCGTGTCGGAGTCGTTGAAATAGTGAATACTTAGGACTTAGGACAACTTTCAAGCGAGTGATGTGCCCTGTTCTCGGCACAGGAAGATTGCCGCACAAACCGCCTTCTTGGCCATCTTGGCGTTGCCAGTCATCCCAATGTCAAGCAAGGGGTCCTGCCAAGATCTGCCAAGCTCCACCCTTCCAGCGCAAGCAGCACGAGCGACACGAGCGAGAGCCGACCCCCGGAACGGAATGAGCATTGTAAGTTGCAAAGCCAGTCCATGGATTCCAACGCAGGCGGTCGCCCATCGAAGCCCTGCCACTTGACGACAAGACATGAGCCGAAGACAACCCCAGCTCCGCGTGATCCTCGCAAGTCCGGCCTCTAGTCGAAAGCCCTCGCAACTGGAGTTGGTAATGCCATCCTCAGATGTTTTCGGACAGACATGAATACTGGCGGTATCGGGCGGTCTTGGTTTTCTGCCAGCGAGATATGCCGAAGAAGCTCCACGTGCAAATGACTCCCGAAGCCCCTTTTGGTGCTCCCGCAGGTCAAACAAAGTGTAACAATCATACAAACCCGCTGCCGCAACCGGCCGGCTCTGCTGACACTGGGCGTCTCGCCAGTGCTAGCTGCGAGCCAATAGCGAATGCAGGTTGGAAATTGAAGGAGTGCAAGGCAGGCGGAGTCTGCCGGTACCCACATCGTGCAAGCGAGGAGTGCCCCGCGATCTCTGATTACATTCCAAGCCACCCACATGCAACTCATCGAATCCGCTGCTGGGATCGCCCTGACAACAGGAAAAGTTTGGAAGGGATCAAGTTCAATAATCCTACACCGCTTGTGGCAGATCGATACTGCCGATCACCTCAGCTGCATGGTGCTCGTAACCCGGCACTCAACACAAGAGCCTCTGCAAGTTGCACAGAAGCCTTTTGCGACGCCTCCGAAAGCCCTGGCTTTCCCAATGCAGGGATGATGGGCTTGTCAGAGCTGAGTGGTGAGACTTGCGACACTTGCCCGTCTAAGCGTCAAACTTACAAGGCAACTATGATTCTGGTGGGTCGCATGCCCAAGGTGCATCTTCCTGCAAACCTTGCTTGATGTTTTCAAGCTTGGTACATGCATCTTGCAACTGCTCTGTCAAGTTCGGTATCCGGGAGATATCTCCTGCCAGTGACTGCTGTGAGACGACCTGTAGCAACTGCCGCCAGAATTTGTCAACTCTACGGAATGTTTGGATCTCGGCCGGCATTTGCCGGTAGATGTCTCTGCCGGTAAAGAACGGCTCCAAGTGCTTCCACAAAGTCTGCAGCACGACCAAGCGCTCCAAAATTCCGAACATGCGGCCTAGCCACTCCTCCCAATCCTGTAGCCTTGGCAAGAGAGCCTGAACATGCGATGATCTCAACATCTCTCCGGTTCGCGACTGATGATCTCTCACCACAGCTTGCAGCTCCTCCAAGCATCTCTTCGAGACAACGAAGGTTCCATTGCTGGGCTCAAGATCAAACCGAAGACCTCGCCATTCTTCCTCCATGGTGTCCATTCCGAGCTCTATCGCATGTTCCTTGGTTGCTCCATCGCTCAACTCTTGCAGCTCCTCCGTGTAGTCGCCAAGCTCCATTTCAATAGCCTTGGTCAGCGTGAAGCTGTTGTCCGGTTCCAGGGGAAAGCCGATGATGCTGGAAATCTGCTCCCAGTGGCGAGCTTGCAGGCACCGGTTGCACAATGAATAGAGCAGCTTAAGGTGACTGTCGTGCATGACAGCAGCTTGCGAACTAAGCTGCTGAGCCACCAGCACCGGCATAGGCAGCACCTTGTCGTTGTGATCCTCGTCATCATCAGCTGTCTTCAACTGAATATTTAAGGCCATCTCGTCAGGGTAGACACGGCCACCGCCAGCAAGAAACACCTCTCGCATTCGCGCGGCCTCCTTTCTCATTCCCCGAACTTCGACTTCAACCTTTGCAGGATCCAAACTGAAAAGGGGGCCTTTGAGCCAAGCTCTCATACTGCGATCCATGTTGTACGCCAGAGTCCAGAGCGAATGGTAAGGCTCAAGGGCCTGTTCGCCACGCTTCAGCTGCTCGAAAGGACTCCGTACTTCCCAGCCAAAACGCCTCTCTTTGGCATTCAGCTTTTCAGCCTCAATATGGGCCTTGCTGAAGTTTGTTTTTAATGCTTGAATTCGCTCTAGATATTCGTCGACCTGCCGCAGATTTCCACAGTCCTTGAACTGCTCCACTTGCGCATTGTATCCTTCCAGGTCCTCCAAGAATTTGTTCCGCTGCTCCTTGAACTTGCTTTCGAGAGCTTCGCGCTCTCGCTTCAAGTTGACCTCGCGTTCGCAAACTCTCTCGTTGATGGAACTTACCCAGATGGCTGAGTCATAAATGACCTGGAAATGCCGCTCTTGCAGCAAGGTGAGGAGTAGCTCGTTTTCGCAGCGGAAGAGGAAGGACAGCCACTCGCGGATACTATCGAACTCCTTCAAGAGCTCAAAGAGTCCAGAAGCCCGAAATTCTTCCACATACATCTCCAGGTCGACCAGCTCCATCTCGCTTGTCGGCTTTTTTACCATCTGGTTCACGACCATCTCGAAACTTTTGCAAAGTTGCTCGTTCCTTGACAAGAGGTTTCGCAAAACGGCCTCCATGAGGATATGTATGGCGTCCTCCGCTTTACAACACAGTGTCTCGTTGATCTCAGAGCAATGGATTGACACCATTGGCAAATAAATCTCTTCGAGGCTGTGTGCACGGATAGTCGCCTGAGTTGCTCGTAGAGTCTTCACCTCGTGCATGACGTGCTCCTGCGTCAAGGAGTCCTCCGGAGAGAGCGACGGAGGGCGAAGCTCAGGCTCGAATACAGCTCTAGGATTTCAAACCAAACCTACGCATCTACTTCTATAGGTCTTATCAAACGCTACAGAGTCCTCCGAGAGCTTCTTGATTCTCGCATCCTCGACCAGAAGATGCTTAAAAGCATCAAAAGGTGCCAGTGCCTCAATAAGGGCCGCCAAATTCTTCCGCATCGTCAGTGCGACCCTCTCCCCTGCCTGCTGTACATAAGTCTCTTCAAGGGAAACGTTCCAAAGCTTGACAGAGTTCTGCTCATTGTAGCGTGCCGGGAGCCTAAGGTCGTTCAGACTCACCACAAAGTTCTTGAAGACTTGCAGCAGGCAAATCTCTACCTCCTCTAAGGAAGTTGTAAACTTGATCTCCGGGCCATCGGCTTCGAGCCCGACCCAAAGAAAAGCCTCATTCTCTCGGCAGCCAAAACGGTCGAAGAAGCTCACGAAAGCTTCGATGCTCTGATCCACCACGCTCCGCAACTGGATGCTCAGCAAGGTGAAAGGGAATGTGTCCTGGCTGTGCTCCAAGATCTCCATTGCTTCCAGAAGCCACTCTGTTTCCAAACACTCTCGAACATGCTGCATCTTGTGAGCCTGGGCTCGACAAAAGGACTGCAGGTCCAAGAGTGGGCTTCCAGGCTCGGGCAAATCCACCAAGCGCAGGTGGTGGTACTTGCAAAACCAGAGATCCAGGAGCCGGAGCGATGCAGCGCTGCAAGGGGGAATATCTGTTGCCTCCTTGATGGCGTTTGCTATACTTTCCCAATTCTCAGGCAGGCCACCGGCTGTACCTTCAATGCCGATGAAGGGCCGTGTGCCCCACAAGGGAACTGGATTGGGCACAAACAGCACTCCCGTCCTTTGCCGAAGCTGCTCACTCAGAGCATGTTCGGCAACCACTTTTCTGAGTGCACCATGGTACTCCTGCAGAACTTCCTGCCACATCTCATCCATCAGATCGCTCGGCTTTGGAAGATCACCCAAGCTCTGCCCAAGCAGCCGCAAGATGTTGTCTGTCCAAGCTTGACTGAATGGCGCGAAGTATGAGGTTGGAATAGTTTCCAGGTAGTGGTGATATCGGTGCAACACTTCGAAAAACTTGAATCGGCTGATCTGTGCTTCTCGTATCTCTTCGTCCATCGGCGAGCCGTCCAGGATGGTTGCAAAGTTCTTGGAGAAATCAACGCCAATCTCCACGAGGGTGTACTGGCACTCTGGTGGCAACCAGCGCAATGACCTGCACGATTAAGGGGAAAGCCCCTTGGGCTGAAGTGCAATCCAACCCAAGCCCTGCCTGGCAGGAACGCCGAAGGGTTTCCAAGTGAGGCGTGCCGTCTTCGTGAAGCTGGTGGCAATGCGGCTGCTCACAGAACCCGGATCATCTGCACCGGTGAACGGGGCGGCCTAGAGGGATGAACTCAGTGTGGCTCATGGATTCCCTCTCCCTCCCTCCCTCCCTC